GTGTAACTGCTGGATGGAGAGAGGTTGAGCTGCGGATCCCAAGTCCCCTGGGAGACTCCCCCTTCGTTCCCAGGCTCTGCGAGGCTCTGATGACATTATTGAATGAACACTCTTCCTCCTCTCGCTGGAGAAGAGAACGCACAAGGATTCTCCTGTCTCGCTCATGCTGGCATGGCTCTGGACACCGATGTGACTTATCTACAGCCCGTGGGGAGACAGGTCTTGAGGACGGCCTGACTCTATGGCATCGTTACAGATGTAGGATCTGCTACAGTTGGTTTTCCTTCATGCATGGGATTCCTTTTCCCCTTCCCCCGTCCCCCCCCACACCCAAATCACTGTTCTTGTACATCGGAGAAGCAGCATCTTGGCCTGACTGTCCAGCCCTCCCTCTGCCCGTGGGTTCCCGTGTTGGCTACAGAGATTGGGGGAAGAGGCTGGGGTCGGCATCTTGGCCGTGTAATGTATGCTAATTGAATTATGCGCCATCATCAAAATGGATTAGTTGTTGCAGCCCATCAGGAAAGTCTAAACCTCCACCGATTTAATTAACTTGACTGAAAATCAGATGAACAGAAAATAAAACTATCATTAGGAGCAATTAGTGACTGCTTAAACAGACTGCTGCCAACCAGTTTGTAAATAAACTCCCAGTCACAGGAATTAGCCAGAATTAATCAGCGGGAAGAGAGAGGAGGACGGACTAGGAAGATCTAGGCGCACACATGTGGGTACGTGTACACACGCTGCATATGTACTTATACGCTTACAGGTACATGAATGTGTACACACACACGGTGTTTCACTTTCAAAGACCTAAAGCTGCACAGGCCCATGTGGCAGCCACCAGCCACATGTGGCTACGAAGGACTTGAAATAGGGCCAGTTCACACTGAGGTGTGCTGTGAGGAGAAAATACACATCAGATTTCAACAACTAAGTTCAAAAAAGAATGTAAAGTTTCACTCATGCTTGCTGTACAGGGATAACATGTTCAAATGATAGTATTTGACTATAGTGGGTTGAAGAAAAGATACCATTAAAAATAACTTCACCTGTTTTTTTTTGTAAGTGTTTATTAAATCTGGCTACTAGAAAACTTAAAATTCCATGTGTGACTCACCTTAAAGTAAAATTATCTTCACCCTTTTCTTCCTTACCTAGTACAGGGCACCTGAGAAACAGCACTTCATAAAAGCTCTGCACATTCCAACTACCTCCTCCTGCCCTCTTAAGCTCTTATCAAAAAGAGTATTCAACCCGGCCAGTGCGGCTCAGTGGTTGAGCTTCGACCCGTGAACCAGGAGGTCAGAGTTCGATTCCCGGTCAGGGGATATGCTGGGGTTGTGGGCTCGATCCCCTGTAGGGGACATGCAGGAGTCAGCCAATCAGTGATTCTCTCTCCTCACTGATGTTTCTCTCTCTCTCTCCCCCTTCCTCTCTGAAATCAATACAAATATATTTTTTAAAAATAGTGTTCAATTGACAGACTCAAAAATTTCACCTCAAGATTTCACAATCACCCACTTAGGACGTTCAGGATAATGTTTCAGTCTTTTCTAGGAAGAAATCCAAATGCTAGATGGGTCTTATGCTATCAGACCCTCCAGCTGCAGAGGCCCTGGGTGGCCTGGGAGCAGCCCAGAGAACTCTCTGAGAAGTCACCCCTGGCCTTGGTTGAAGGCCGCCGCTCTGGGAACTCACCTGGACATGGAAGCGTTGACCGTCAGCGCTGTAGGGTAGGGGTGGCGGAATCCTCCTGTCGTGATTGGGTACACTGGCTGGCCTTGCCTACAAAGAGGGGTGTACAGAGTGAGAGAGTGCCACCAAGGATGGGGGTGGGGGAAAGGAAGAGGAGAAAAAGGAGAAGTTCTCTCTGCACAGTAAGCTTTATTCTCATTTGATCAGAACAAAAATCTTGGGGATTGTACAGGAAGGATCAAAGGGAAGAAACACAGAACAATTTGAATGCCATAAATCTGATAGGAATGGCTAATTAAATTTTATAACCTCTGCTTATGTCAATAGAGACCCTCTCCCCAAGCTGAAACTAGGTGTTTTGTTGTAATAATTAAAGGCGAAGTCTCGCTTGCTTTAATGGAGCCATCACACTAATTGAGGGCTACACATCCAAAGGAAAACAATAATGAATGTAAATTTATACCAAAATAAAGTACAGTGAATCAAAGGACTTCAGTTGCGCTTTGGGCCTCTTTCGGTATTTAGATCTCGGTGAGAAAACATTAAATTAACAGAGCTTAATTTGTAGCCTTTTGTCAAATTAACAAGTGTTGACAAGAGTTACCGGGGGGAGAGTCCCCAAGAAGAATTGTGGGTAACCAATAGACAATCACACCTCATTACAATAATTAAAAAATACAGCAACATGCAAAGTAGCATCCTCATGAAAGACACACAACTTTTTCTGACAGAGGACTGTCTGAGCTGGCTATTCCTTTTTATCCTAGCCTTCAAATATCTCCCCATCAGCTGAACGGGGCCAGGGATGACTGAGAACTACTGGAGGAATGGCCCACAATCTACTGAAGAAGAAATGGGGTAGGAGCTCACTTTCGTGGTCCACATCTAACTTCCCAAACAAAAGTAAGGAGAAAACAATAAACAGAAACTATGCTCAGGGTTGACCCTCAGTGTAGCTACTACATAGTACAAGCTTTTTTTTAAAAAAACCCCAGAAACTGTAGAATCTGTTCAACTTGAGGAATAAGGGTAGAATGGGGGCGGGAAGTGGGAAACCACTCCAAAATCCTATCTTCTTTAAGGTTATGAAAGACCATGTTCCCAAGACCCAACCTTGAGCGTTTCATCACGATTTATTCTTGCTAAGATGCAATAAATTGCCCTGTGTTTTTTAAACGGTAGAGATAACAAGCACATCGCATAAGCATGCAGAGAAATATCCACAGAACCATGCAATCACAAAACACGCGTTACATGCTTGCACACACAGTAGGCTTATGCACCCCAGGCCTTTCTACTCTGGGATTTTTAGAACCCACTTTTTAAAGCTGTCTGAGGAAGGCTGATGGGTGGTACCGTCAAAGCAAAATGGGGTGATTGGAAGATAAATTGTCAACGGCAGTTTGATGACCTGGGCACTGGGGGAGCTGGGGCTGACATGGGGCAGGCCCCACAGGCTGAGAGACACGAGCTGCCCCACCCCCACCCCTTATAATCAGCATTTAACATGTATGATCTCAGGGAGATGCTGGCTAAATAGCATGGAGCTTCTCAAGAGATAAAACTTTCCACTATTGGTGTCAACCTTGAGAGTCATGGCGGGATGGAGCTGGTTGAGGGAGAGCATAGCCCCACCCCCATTCCCACCCCTGGATTCCAAAACCGGGTCCTGCCCATTGCCCCTCTGCTGCTGCCTCAATCCGATGACAAGGCTCCCACCTGGACTGACACCAGCAGAAGAGCTGTGATCAACTTCATTGGGTAGAAGCCCTCAGCGCCTTCTACGTTTCCGTAAGTACCTGAAGGGCACCTTTGGTCACAGAGACGAACCCAGAGCCTTTGGGATCATGGGCTCAGAACGCTAAGTATCAAAACCCCTTTTCCTACACAACCTACCGAATGGCTATTGACCTGCCCTTGCCCCCAAGCACATCTCAACAAGCATCTTCCCCACGCCCCCCACTGGCCCTCCTCACCAGCCTGCCCTCTAGAACACACACATTCATGCACAGAAGAAATAAGAAGCATGCCCATGCAAGAAACAAAAAGTAAATTAAAAAATGGAACTCCTTACTGTGGTACTAACCATCCTAGCGGATGGGGGATTTGTCCTACGGTGCCGGGAGATAGTGGGTAATACGGAGATATATCTGGAGGGTGCGGAGGCCGTGGGATTCCTGGGAAAAGAAACAGCATTTTAGGTACAAAGAAGGGAGAGAAGGAAAGAGAAACAATCTAGAGATGGGAATCGGGAAAGGGCACAGAGAGGTACCTCTTCTGTAATCTTAGCACGAGGTTCTTTTTCTGATTATAAGCATAGGAAATGTTGGTAAGTTTCCTCTTACTATCCCTCTACCCCCAGTTTGAAAAGTTGCTCTAGCTCATTCTAGATGGATCGATCCACTAGGTCAGTGGTCGGCAAACTCATTAGTCAACAGAGCCAAATATCAACAGTACAACGATTGAAATTTCTTTTGAGAGCCAAATTTTTTAAACTTAAACTATATAGGTAGGTACACTGTTATTAACTTAATTAGGGTACTCCTAAGGCTTAGGAAGAGCCACACTCAAGGGGCCAAAGAGCCGCATGTGACTCGCGAGCCGCAGTTTGCCGACCATGGCACTAGGTTAACGCAGACAGACTCAGAAATACCATCTTCAAGATTGCTATCTCATCCAACTGGTGTGATTTACATTTTTTAAAAAAATCTAAAAGGCAGTGGTCCATAGTGAGTGATCAACTAGGTAATATTAATTCCTTTTGCCCTCATGATTTGTCCCTTCACTCCCTTGAATTCTTAACGACTTACCCGCATGATTCTAGTTTCTGCTATACTTTGTGAGTTATGGCTTTTGACTTCTTTCAAAAAAGTTAATTCCTCTAGAATGTCCCCACCGCAGCCTAGAAGATGAGCTATAGGGGGAACTCACCAACTGCCCCTGGCATCTCAGCCAAGGGAAATGCTAAACTGAACAGACACGGAGACCTGGTGCACTCAGTGCTAGAGATGGACAGGAGACCTGATACACTCAGTGTAGAGATGGACAGGGAACCGTGGGAGATCTGGTGCACTCAGTGTAGAGGCGGACAGGGAGCTCTGGTGCACTCAGTGTAGATAGAGCCTCAGCTAAAGGACAGGCACAGGTGTGAGTTAGGTCCACCTGCTGGCTGGGTGCTGCTGAGTCACAAGGGCTGAGGCCTGCCCGGGCTGACCCCTGTGGGTGCAAGCCATGGGAGCGCTTCTGGATTCCACGGGAGAGTTTCCCGCCATCAATTCCTAGGAAGCAATCGCGCTGGGATCGACTCTGACCCCGAGGAGCTGAGCTCGCCGCTGAAGAGCGGAGCCCAGGAACAATACCACAGAACTCACACAACCCTGAAGGGAATGAGAACCGCGTGTTCGTGGGTAAAAACTATTTCTTTTATTTTTTTTTTAATTCGTTCAGGAAGCTTTTAATCTGTAAATTAAGTCTCCCTGGGTGACGTTTCCATGCAGACGTGGCTTTCTCTCTATTACAAAAACCAAACAGATTAGCTGGGCTTGGACCCTACACCAAGCCATTCGCACACTTGAAAGAATGTTCGCAGAGGAAAAGTAAACAGTCTGCAGACGTTAATCATATGTTTTACGATAAGCATTTAAAAGCTATTCCCTGTACTACCATTATTTAAATGAGCCGTTGATGCTGCCATTCACTCCCGGGCGGCTGGCGGCCTCCTCTAGCTGCACAGCCAGGCCCGGCCCCGCCAGCACAAAGCGGGCTCAGAGGCTGGTGAAACCAGCTCATGTGTGGCTCCATTCAGGGGCAGCGAAGGCCTCTGAGGAGGCCATCTACCTCTGCCTGACACCAAACAACTCCCTGACAGAGGGACACAAACAGCCATTTAAAAGCCATCCCTCTAACTGACTAGCTGGGAAGGGAAACCTCAGCCAGCAAGATACACCCTGGCCTTAGCTTCCTTCCAAGACCACGCCACCAGGATCTCCGGCTAATCTGCTCGTTTTAAATCTCGTAGCTTCTCTCTCTCCCCCTTGGGCAAAAGCAGGGGCGGAAAGGGGGGAACAAGGCCAAAGATAAGATGGAAATGTCTGTCTGAGATCCTATTGGTTGTTGTGCGATGCCATGAAGAAACCCTGGGGGCTCGGTTTTCACATCTGTAAAATAGGCTTGTTAATGCCCAGGATGTTATAGGGGAGGAAGATGCCAAATCAACCAGCACAGAGAATGCGGAGCCCAGCAATGTGGTTTCTTGAGGCTGCACCAAAGTCATCATCAAGTGACTGGGGTCCCTTAGCCACCAGGGGACCAGGGCTTTGGGGAGCCATGCACTAGGGTTCCCAAGGACCTCAGGAGGAGCCCATGAGGTGCCTCCAGAATGATTACTGCCTCCAAGTCTGCCTGAGGCTCTAGGAGTTGTAAGCTCTTCCGGAAAAACACCAAGTGACTCGCAGCCAGGTTCCCAAGGCGGCCCCTGCCCGGGTACCCGGAGCTCTGGAGAGACTTCCCGAAAAGAGAACAGTCCCCCGCAGGCTACTAAGGTACAGTGATAGAAATCACAGATGTGATTGGGTAAGTATTTCGCCTCCCAGCAGGTCCTGTGGGGGCCCCGGGACCAGCACGCCCTCTTGAGCACACGGCCTACCTGTTTTGGGGTCTACGTCAGCTGGTAAGTGTGGAGGCGGGTTTCCCGGGGTGAAGTGTTCGTTGCTGTATGTGATAAGAGGCGTGAGAGGGTGGACATGGTGAGGGTGCTGCACCACCGGCACTTTGTTCGACTGTGGGAGGAGAGGAACAGAGAGAGGCGCCATCAGCCCGGGTCCCAGCAGCACAGGGCTCTCGGCTCCCCGGCCACACCCTCCCACCTGGACTTCATCAGATGCACTCAATTCCGCCCTCGGCCCTGGCCCCGTCCATGCATCAAAAATAACAGTTACTAGACAGCGCTCTGGGTAGGTATACTTCCGTTTTTACCTGCCCACTGAGCTTGGCTTTTAAAATACCTTCTCCACCACCACCCCATCATGGAGCCCGAGAGTTGGCACTTTTCCCATCAGCAGGTACAACGAAGTGGGTACCTAATCTCCCAGGCATACTGCATTCCTGTGTGTGTGTGTGTGTGGCTAGGAGAACCTTCAGTTTCAAGGAAACCCAGCAGGGCCCAGCCTCCTCCTCCGCCCCCCGCCCCCTCCCTGCCCCTTCCCTGCCCCTTCGGACCAGCAGCACGGGCCCTGGGCATGCCACAATCCTTTGCAGAGAGGTGGGTGAAAAGCCGCACTCCTGGCCTGCCTGGGAGTGTGAACTTTATCAGAAAGCTCTAAACTGCCAGGCCAGCACCTGAATATTTTATGCAGATTACATCAGGCCTGATTCATTAGGAATTTCATTAGGAAGTCATCAGGGAAATCTAATAAATTAGCTGGATGATGATGAATTGGGCTAATAAAAGGTATGCTTTTTAGAAATGGGCAGTTGTAGAAAAACAAAGGACCGGCATTTTTATGTTTGGGAAGGGCAGGTAGGAGGAGAGCAGCAGGGGGGCGGGGGGAGAGGGGGGGGGAGCATCTTGAAGATATTTCTAGTTGCCATGACCAGACTTTCCCAAATTATTCTTCTCCCCTTCCCCCACCCCACACCCCCTCCACTGTGCCATGCTACAACTTAGCCCAGCAAGATCACAAAGAAAAAAATTAAGCTGAAACAAGCGAACTACTGGGCCATTTACTGAGAGTAATCCAATTGCAAAAAACCCTATTCCCAATAGAGGATTTTCACTAAAATCCTACAACAGGGACATTTAACCAGATTAGGTACCAGGGAAGATAAAGAGGCCAGTATTAGATGATGAATGGATTAGAGTCAAGTTTCATTTCAGAACGTGTCTTCATTTCCTTTTATTACTTTTAGGAGGGCACAACTTGCATTAACATCAAGGAAGAGGAATTGCATGAAAAGAAAAGTGAGGGTCTCATGCTGCTCACTAGCGCCTCTCGAGTTCAGGGACCACCCCACAGTTCTCATCTTTTTTTTTTTTTTTTTGGTAAATAGGTGAGGAAGGGGTACAACGTGGAGTATTTCCTACCACAGTTCATTGCGGGGAAGGCATCTTTTAAAAGTGCTTCCCGCTTTCTCAGGAATATGTTTGGAAAGAAAAATATGACCTTGTTGATGCTCCAGAAAAAAGAAGGGAAAAAAAAACTACAGAAAAAGAGGCCGAGCCTTCCCACAGCCTGATTTAATGAAGCTTATAAACAACTGGACGCTTTGGGAGAAAGCGCTAGCTGATGGCTCACAGAGCCCTTGCGTGGTGAGTTATCAGTGTGCAATCAAAGCATGAAAATAATAAATAAGTAAATAAAAAGCACCGGCATTAAAAATGCCAAAGCGGAGGGGAGCTCTGGAACCAGCAGCCCTGATGGTCTGGACAGGCCAAAGGCAGCGGAAGGAGAGGCCGCTGCCCCAGGGCTCACGGGCGCGCACTGAGGAGTCCTTTAGGGAATGCTGCTGTTTAGTAGGACAGCATGAGAAGTAACCAACAGGCAAGCTCCCACTGTGTGCTGGGTGGGGAGGGAAAGAACACGGAGAGGCAGGGAGGGAAAGGGTCCGCGTGGTCACATGAAGCGAAGACCATTAAGAGGAGAGGAAAAGACTGTTGCTGCCTTCCGAAGTTTTCTATTTGGTTGGGAAGATACACACCCGCTGAAATGAAAGAAAGCAGGCCAGTCCCAGACAGCTTAAAGTAACTGCAGGAAAACCGTGAAGCCAGAGGGAAGAGCGACAGACAGCCCAGGAGGGGAAGGAGGACGGTCACTAAGAGCTGGAAGGACTTCCAGGGAATGGACTACCGTACACAATGGAAGGAAGCAAATGCATGAGCCCAAGAGCGGTGCACAAGGGCCGGGAGTGGGCAGCGAAACTGGCAATTCGCGTTAGGCATCTCTCAGGATGCTTATCACCAATTCAGCTCCCTGATCCCAGGAGATCTTCCGGTACAGACCTGAGGAAGTCTCACCTGGGTCCCGCTGAGTGCCATGATCCCTTGACCAGAGAGCCAGGCAGGCACAGACAAGCACACAGGTCCTGGGAGACCTGTCCTACTCATCAATCAAGTCCTAGTGTGTAAGAGAATCCATGGAAAGGGCTTAGCACAAACCCTCCCACAGGTAAGCACAGGAAGGTGGCTCACTACACAGTTACTGTTGCTGTTACTGTTACTGTTACTGTGATTGTTAGGGAGAAGCTGCCCAATGTTGTGGTTTTTGGCTGCGGTACGAAAGTGCCCATTGCACAGGGGTCTTTCAAGCAAGACTAACAGGAATGGGGGCGGGGGGGAAACCTTTCTCTGTTTGTCCGGCAAAGAAGAAAGGCAGCTTTGGGCAACAGTGGTGTTATTTGGATGTACACAGAATTTAAGAGTTAGCCCGGCTGGTGTGGCTCAGTGGTTGAAGTTGAACTATGAACCAGGAGGTCACAGTTCGATTCTGGGTCAGGGCACCTGCCCAGGTTGTGGGCTCGATTCCCAGTAAGGGGTGTGTAGGAGGCAGCCGATAAATGATTCTTGCCATTAATGTCTCTGTCTCTCTCTCTCTCTCCTCTTTCCTATCTGAAATCAATAATAATGTATTAAAAATGAAGTCTCCCTTTCTCTTAGATACATATATAAAGATGATTCCAACAAATGCTGGGCACCTGTCCTGGCTGCCATCACCCGATACTACTTGCGCACCTGAACCTAGCCAACTGTTTTTTTCCTGTTTGGTCTAAACTCATAAGCATAGGGGTGGAGTGAAGGGGATTTGAAGTAGTTATATATATATATATATTTCTTTATTGATTTCAGAGAGTAAGGAAGAGGGAGAGAGAGATAGAAACATCAGTGATGAGAATCATTGATCGGCTGCCTTCTGCATGCCCCCCTACTGGGGATTGAGCCCGCAACCCAGGTATGTGCCCTTGGCCGGAATCGAACCTGGGACCATTCAGTCCGCAGGCTGACGCTCTATCCACTGAGCCAAACAGGCTAGGGCAGAAGTATTGATGGTGCCTTTTGGAGGGAAAGCAGACATGGTGCTGTTTTCTGACCCTACCTGCCTACCAGGCAGCTCATTACAACACAATGTAGCCACAAGTCTCTCCAGGTTGACTGGTTCCCAAGCAAAGCAGGGATGTGGTCATAGATGTAAAAGCTAGGGCCTAACTCCCATGGGCCTCTGCGCCTGGGTGGCTTTGACAAGAGGATGTTCTTCCTGAAGAAGCCTCGTCTCTCCAGCTTCAGAACCCCAGCGTCTTTTCTTCCTGTACTGCCTTATGCCCACTGCTGGGGTCACGTATGTTCCTCTCTTACGCTCCTTAAGCACAAGGACTGTGTCTTCTAGAACTCTGTGTCCCCTGTCATGCCCAGCCTATGCGAGTGCTGAGCACCATCTCACAAATTGCATAAGAACCATCAAATTGCAACTGCAAGGATTGTAAGAAGAGAAGACAGAGCCAACCTCACAGATCCATCGCAGCCAATGAGAGTGCTCTCTACATGGAGTCTATGCAGAACCGTGGCACAGAACTAGGGGAGGGGGGGAGGAGGGAGGCGGGGGGCGGGGGGTCGCTTCAGAAACCACCCAGCCTAACCCTTGTTCCCACAGGGCCTTCTGTGGTTTTAGAGCTCATCGCATGCCCACGGTGACCAAGGTAAATCTGTGAATTCAAGGAAGACCTGGTTTAAATTCTACATCACCAGATTAGCCATACAACCTCTCCCAGGCCTCCGTTTCTCTGTGAATTCCAGGTGGGAACTGTACCTACCTCAGAGAGTTGTAAAAATTAAGAGACCCTGCATGTACAGTGCTTAGCCCAGTGCCTGGCACAGAGCTGCACATGCAACGCAAAGGAAGCTTTGACAAACACCACCCCGTGAACGGTAATGATGAGTAATGTGGTCATAGATGCAAAAGCCAGGCCTAACTCCCATGGGCCTCCTGCACCTGGGTTGCTTTGACAAGAGGATATTCTTGTCTAATGAGGAAGATGAGGCTCACTACCCCTCCCGTCTCTTCTCATTAGATTCACGGGGAACACGCAGCCACAGACAGTGCTTACTGCAAAGGTAAGAATGCTCAATATGGGGCAAGAGTGTATGCAAGTTTTATAGCCACCTATCCTCAGGTGCCTTCTTAAAAACGTGCTATTCAATTAAAAATGTATGTAGTTTGCCTTAACCGGTTTGGCTCAGTGGATAGAGCGTCGGCCTGCGGACTCAAGGGTCCCAGGTTCGATTCCAGTCAAGGGCATGTACCTTGGTTGCGGGCACATCCTCAGTAGGTGTGCAGGAGGCAGCTGATCGATGTTTCTCTCTCATCAATGTTTCTAGCTTGCTATCCCTCTCCCTCCCTCTCTGTAAAAAATAAATAAAATACTTTTAAAAAATGTATGTATTTTACGATCTCCCTTGGGAAAAAAAGTCACTTTATTAAGCTAATAAATAAGACTGTCACAGAAGAATTGAAGGTGAAATAAACAGTTCAAGATGACCAAGATCTTTCCAGCATCAGGGGGAGGGCTCTGAAGTCAGAGCTGATAGAAATGAAACACACAACCACCCACCTTTTCTTCAAACCACTCCCACTTTTAAAAAGGTCTTTAAGAACTGGGTTCAAAACTGTATCGCCCTAAGAAAATTCAGATGTAAGAAGTACCTTTCTTGGGGGAGGAACACCGATAACCCTCCAGAAATGCAGGCAGCAAATCTAAACCTAAGTAACTATTTATGTTTGGAGGGTCCGTG